CAAAGAACCTATCAACTGGGACCACTTCTCCAAACATTTAGAAAATCTCACAAATTTAAATATCTCACTTAAAACAAATAATCAAATAGAGGAGGCAGTCCAAAAGTTGACAACATCAATACAGACCGCTATTTTCAACTCATCACGTGCTATAAATATACCTAATAACTCAACAAACAACAACATTCTCCCTCCCCCCCCTATATTCGTGAATTAATTTAAAAAAAGCGTAGGGCACGTTCACGTTGGCAACATTGCAACCTGCCATCCGACAAATGAATATACAACAATTTATCTAATTCAGTCAAAAAAAAAAAAAATACAAAAATACAAATCAGAATTTTTTCAGGAAATATATCAATCTCTTACTATCCAAGACGGTTCTCTGTGGAAAGCCACGAAAAACCTGCTTAATATTAAAGAAAAAATTCCTCCTTTAAATGATCCGAATGGTGTACTAGCGGTTTCAGATATTGATAAGGCCAATCTTTTTGGTAACCATCTCTCAAAAATATTAACTCCTCACCCTAATATAAATCCAGATCCTGAACAATTAAACACAATAAAAAACTTTTTAAACAGTCCACTGCCTATGAATCTTCCAGCAAAGCACACCTCTCCGAATGAAGTTAAACAAATAATTAACAAACTAAAAATAGGAAAATCACCCGGATATGATTTAATTTCAAACAAAATGCTCAAACATATACCAAATAAAACAATAATTTTACTTACATTCATTTACAACTCCATGTTGAGACTATCTTACTTCCCTTTAACATGGAAGTTTTCCATTGTTATTCTCATACACAAACCTCATAAACCAAAACATTTAACATCTTCTTACAGGCCAATCAGTCTTCTTCCTACTCTGGGAAAAATATTTGAAAAAATTATCTTGAAAATAATAAGACCGATAATAAAATCACAGAATATAATACCTCACTCACAATTTGGTTTCAGAACTAGTCATTCAACAATACACCAAATCCACCGTCTCACTGATAAAATAGCATCCTCTTTTGAAAACAAAAAATACTGCCCTGGAGTTATCCTAGATGTCGCGCAGGCGTTTGACCGCGTGTGGCATGATGGTTTGCTTTATAAGTTAAAAAAATTCCTTCCAGCACCTTACTATTTGTTAATCCGTTCTTATCTTCAAATCCGAACTTTTTCAGTTAGGCAAGGCACCTCAACCTCTCTATATTTCCCAATATTTGCTGGAGTTCCTCAAGGTAGTGATCTCTTCCCTAACTTGTTTAATATATATACATCTGATTTTCCCACAACAAATAACACAACTATTGCAACCTATGCAAATGATACAGCCATTCTTACATCCGACACAGATCCTGAGATAGCTTCCTCTGCTCTTCAAAACCACCTTGATTTAATAAGTATCTGGGCAACAACATGGCGTGTCAAAATAAACCTCGAAAAATCATTCCATGTCCCATTCACACTCAGAAAAAAGAACTCCCCACCCCTTCAACTACAAGGTGTTGATATTCCTATTACACCGAAGATTAAATATCTAGGAATCACAATCGACAAACGACTAACTTGGGGCCCACATCTTAAATCTAAACAAAAATTATTAAATTATCGTCTACACATGCTTCGCCCAATACTTAAATCCAAACTCTCCATAAATTCAAAATTAACAATATACAAATCTTTTTTAAGACTCATATGGACCTACGGCTCTCAAATTTGGGGTTGTGCCAAACCGTCCCAACTACAAACCATCCAAGCATTCCAGTCCATATCCCTCCGTCTCATAACATCTGCCCCATGGTACGTAACAAATAATACACTTCACAAGGACTTAAAAATACAAACGGTTGAACATCTAACTAAACAATACTACACCAAATTTCACAAAAAACTACATCTACACCATAATCCTCTTATCTCCCACTTATCATCACGTACACTTCCCGACAACCCCCCTCGACGTCTTAAAAGACTGGTGTCGTGATCTTTTATGATCTAAAAAAAAAAAAAAAAATTAAAATTAAAAAAAATTAAATTTAGATTAATTTAAATCTGAAGGGTTCTATCACTGGATGGTCTCCCTTATCCTGTCACTCTGTCTTTATATTATATTGTGTTGTACATATTATCACATTTACTCATTGTATTTTGTTAATACAGATTGTAAATTTTCAAATAAAAAAAATAAAAAATAAATATATGCACAAAGGATTAAAATAAAAAATTGTCATAGGTCAAGTAACACTTACCAATTACACTCATTGAATACAATGTTCTCCAGGGTAAAGTTTTGTGTTTAATTTTGTTCATATTAACTAGGTTTATGATTTTATTCTTGATAGTTTGATACGTTTGCTAATGATACTTTCCTATTATAAAATGTAATGTTTGAAATGACAAATATTATATTCTCAAAGGAAATTTATTAAAAGGCCTAGATGGTTTGTATTTGGAAAGGATTAATAAATTATTCTTGAATATAGTAAATTCAATATGAAATTTAGATACCGTAACATACATATTTATAAATGTGTGTGATAGTTAATTGTATATTATAAATTAAAATTATTAAATTAATAGAAGTAATAATAAGGCAGACAAAAATCATTGGGTTATAGATTTTGAGTGGAGCCAAAAATACAATATTAAAAACCTATAGTTTTATATTTTAAGTACTTACTTAAATAAGCATCAAAACTTTTATGTAGTACATTTAATAAAAATTAGATAAAATTTGTAAAACCCAGTAGGATAAATATGATGAGAAAATGAAAAGTTAATGAAAATACAATACTTTATTTTATGGATTTTTAGTTAGGAAAATAGCGGTCAACAGTGATATGCATATTAAGCTTTAATTACGGAAAATTGAAACATATCATTTCATTTTCTAATAGGAATTATTATTTAGTTGATCCTTTAACGTGAGATGTATTACGTATTTACCTATAATTTTCATAAATAACTATAAAATCCCTCAAAAAGTTATAAAAATAAAACGACACAGGTTATCGACAAAATCAAATTTTTGTTTTCATCATAACTCAATAAATAATATTCATAGAGACTATACAAAATCTAACTAAACCGTTCACTACAAATAGTTACATTTTTAAAAGATCTTTTTGAGCTATTAATAGGAAATTTAAAATATTGTGTTTTTTAAAAACATTAGCTTCAACATTTTGGAGTTTCATTGACAATATAGACAACAATTCTTGAAAACGTTGTATACAATTTCTCATATAGTATAATATAAAGTTGTATTACTCATAAAAAGTTCCTCGTATTTTTAATGTATATTACTGAAAAATTATGCTTAATAATTATAATGTAATAATATAACTTTATAATTAGTAAGTTAAAAATATTTTTTTTATGTGCGTTCAAATATAAAATTTTAATATAACGATTAAAATTACGAAAATCCGCTAGGTACATTTTTATTATTGAAAATCCGTAAAACTTTTAATTTACTTAAAACTTGAAAATTAAAAAAACAAGATTTTTCATAAGATTTTCTTTGAAGAAAAAAAATGTATCTGGAAAGTCATTAAAGTTTTATAAGCATTAAAAATGAAATTTTAACGAAATCGGATACTTTAATGAATTTTCGTTAAACGGTAGGTATTAATTATTAAATTGTTAAGTTCATATGAATATTAATTGTAACGAATTCAAACATTTATGGGTACTTATATTAGCATTAAAAAATATTTCATAATGTAGTATTTGGAGGTAAAAATTCGATTTTTACAGATTTTAAATTAATATTACAATGAGCTGTACAGTTATCAGTAATTTATAAAACATTTCTTTGATTTAGTCACATTTTTTAATGACATTTTATAAACTAATTTTTAAATAAATCTCCAGTCATCCATGTCATTTTGTTTGACTCATAATCTAATGGTAAACTCTTCTTAACTTCTTTGAAACATCGTGGTTTATTGATTCCCCGATTATAAGCGGTTTCATTTTTTCGGAACCTTTCATATTTGATCATAAAAGAATTGTTATCCGTTCCTTGCTTTGTTTACCACATGAACAAGTATCTCTTTTCAAAATAAAAGTGCGATGGGGTAGGCTGTCTTAACAATGCTATCTCATTCATATTAAATACCTACATCATCAAAAGAATATTCTTTTATGATGTTTGTTAACTTTCTTATCCATTCATTACATAAATAATCGTTTACAGAAGCACTTTTGTCATATATTTTAAATAAAAATATGTTATGACGATTTTTCAAATTTCCTAACCAGCCTTGACTTGCTTTAAAATTAAAATAACCAAATTGAGTTGCGAAATATTCTGCTTTTTCTTTTAGTATTGATCCACTTATAAATAATTTTTTATTTCTACATTGAGTAAACCATTTGAATAAACATACCTCTACATTTGGATATTCTGCTGGTATTGATCTTTTATTGTCACCATTAATGTTTTCAAATCTTGATGATGATAGTATAACTTATATTTTAATAGGCATGAATGAATTATTTACTTTAAAATATTTTAAGATGTACAACCTAAACATACACTAACTCCTTGAAGGACTAAAACAGTTTAGATATATACTATTTAAAATTTAACCATTGGTGATATTTGATTAATAATTGTGCAATATAAGGAGGTGTAATCTTGGGGCCAAATAATTTACAATCATTAACGTTCAAAAGTAATAAAATAGATTCAAAATCTGCTTTTAATAGTATCTAGAAAACATGAAACTGTTTAAAATTAATGAATATTAAATATGTTAACAAAATACACTATACAATCAATTGGGTAAAAATATTTTAATATACTGATTTTTAAGAGGAGGCTACACTGAAAGTGGAACGCATACAACGACCAAGAGGAAATGTGGTTAGGTGTTTTCATGCAGCGCAAGCACACAAAGCCACGGCTGTTATCGCAATAACCTAATCTAAGAATTCATATTTTGAAATCTGATTTAAAAAATATTAATATGTTAAAAAAAATTACACTAAAAGAATAATATTAAAATATTAAATTTTAATACATCTTTTACAACTTATTTACAAATCCAAACAAAATTGTATAAAATAAATGCTATAAATATACTTATATACTAAAATTTTAATTTTTTAATTCCATTTTATCAATTTGATTTTCATCTTGTATTAATTTTAACATTTGTTTTTTGGCTTCAAAACACAATATTCCAACAGCTGTAGCAGAATTTAAGCTTTCAATACCGTTTTGTAGAGGAATATTTACTCTAATACCTTTTTGCGTTCTTGCAAATTCGTAACTATCTTCACTTAAGCCAAGTGTTTCGCCACCAATTACAAATATTAAAGGAGTAGTTTTACAATAATCAACTTCATAGTAAGGAACTATTGGCAGCTCAATTGGAGCTGTTTTTCTAAAAACTTCTATTTTATTATCTTCAGAAATATCAGTGGTACTTAGACTGTTGTTATCGGCTAAACAAACTTGACCTTTGATATTGGACAAAGAACTCCAGTCAACATCAGATACTATTTTCATTCTGAAATGTGCACCACAAGCAGATCTCAACACTTTATCTCCCCATAAATCGGTACAGCCTAAACATTGCATAATAGTTAAGTTTGTTTGATTTGAATTGCCACAATATACATATAATTTCAAAAATAATTTCCTTACCTTTCATTAATAAAATTTGTGAGGCTCCAACAGCTGTCACAGTTCTTAACACAGCACCTAAATTACCAGGATCTCGGATGTTATCACAAATAACTGTAATTGGAAACACATTTTTTCGAACACTATGATCAAAAGCAGGAATTTCAAAAATACCTGTGACAGTATAAATAAGGCTTAAAATTTAATTTCATTAATACTATGAACTATTAAATCATTTTTATACCCATAATCCCTTGTGAAGTCTCAGTTTCTGTAAACAACTGTATCATTTTATATGGAGCTTTGTAAAATATTGTTCTCGAAACGGGTAGATCTCGCAGTTCTTCAGGTATACACAAATTCTCCAACACTCTCTTTTGGCTGAAGAATATCTGTTTTGGCTTCACACCAGCATTTAAAGCGTCTTGTATCAAGCGCTTGCCTTCTAAGAGTATACTAGACTTCTTTTGTCGTCGTTTTTTGGTTTTAATATTGATCATGGCTTGACTGAAAAATTATAATTGCATTCAGATATAATTTTTGCATAAGAAAATTTGAATGCACAGTACCACAAACTGCTGCAATAGTTCGTTATGCTCACTGATCTTATAGGGAGACCAGTGAGCGCAAATGTACATACCTAAGTATAGGACTGGTTTCTTTCAGTATTATGTAAGATGGAAATCCACTATCATCTTTTTCCACTACCGACAGCACTCCACTGCGAGTGTGCGGTTTGATGTTGTCCAATGGGTTTTTTTCTGTTGATGGTGTTGGGTCAGTCGCAAATGATCGTTGGACAGCAATGTTACGCACTGCCAGCCGGAGACTAGCCGTGAAATAGCTACTAATCGCTTTCATTATACTTTAGTAAAGTCAAGGTAAAAGTTTATCTAATAACGAAGTTTATAATAACTATTAAAAAATAAATTATGATAAAATCTGATAACTCAATTGAAAAATGTCAATCTGAAAAACAAATCTGTAGGCCCGATAACTGCAGACGTGATGTTGACAAATATCATATAATTATCGTGTAAATTTATGAATGTATCGTAAAATTATAATTTAAATCGGCTGAAATCGGCGACCACTGTTAACCTGCGAAAACATGCAAACGCAATGATCGTTTATGATAACCATTATCATGGCTCCCATCAACGCAACAACGTCGGACAGCTGTTTCCGTGTTATCGATTTTTTTTCACGCGATCGGTACATGTGGCGACAACGACGTATTGCAACACATAACTGTGGTGTGTGGTGCCATAACGAAGATGATAAGCTCGTCCGCTTTTCACAAGCACAGGAATCGAGTTCGCGTCCACCGTCAGTCTACGTCGCGCCTCGCACCATCTTGTTGTTCGGGTTCCGGTCCCGCGGACCATCTACGTGTGTACTCGTAATAATTTTTATTCTCCCTAGTTACTATGAAAATATTTTCTGTGTATTGAAAATAGTCTGACCGATATGTTTTCAGGTGAAGGACAAACCGTAGTCGAGACGATGTTTTCGTCATCAAGTAAATAGTAAATTCTAGAGCAAATTCATATCAAAAAGATTTTTTCTGCACCAACAGTTGAACTACGTTCTATAACCAGTCACCGTGAAAATGGATTTTCATACTATACTTTATCAGGCGCAGAAAAATAACACCAGGGACAATGAAGTGAGTAATGTCAACAGCAATAAATATTTAGTTCATAACCAGATGGAACTTAAGTGCTTTTGAGTTAATGTAACCATCATGTACTGATACCATTGATCATAAATTTATAATTTATGAACAAAAATAATCTTTACCTTGGAAAAATATTAGTCCTCTGGACTGGTATTGATACTTTGAAAAATATCTTGAACCTAGCATTGAATAGTTACTTAAAACCGTTTTTTTTGACTGTCGATTAAAATCATTATGAATTGTATCTTAATTGACCTATTATGTGTGGGTACTTATTTTAAAAATGTATGTTATGTCTGATAGTTCAGTATGTTAACTAAATAACAAATTTTAACTTAGTAGTGTCATTTTTTTATTAGAAATGCAATACTGAAATAAAACAATACTCATTTATTTAAATTGTTTAAATAAATCCAATTTTACAATTTACACTTAGTAAAGTAGCACTTTTTTTTTCTTTTAAAAAAGCTGGGATTAAATAATTTTAGCATTTCTAAGTAAATAATAATGCATTTTTCTGCTAGGTTAAATATTTTAAAGCTTCATTGGATCCACCAAAAAAAGTTACAAAAGAAAGTAGACAGTTATCTGAGAGCATTAAAAAATTCTTAGCTAAAAAAGAAGAAGAAGATCGACAAAAACAATTGGAAGAACAAAAAAAAAAAGATGAATTGATATCATTGAGAAGTCAAGATCGAAAATCATTTAAACGTGTACAGTCTATGTTAAATCGAACAAAATCAGCAAATAAATCAGTTATTGAGGATGCTAAAGATGATGTCAATACATCTGTTACCATGGCAGGTTTGTTAATTAAAATTACTTAGATTATTGTTAAGGTAAACCATAAATTAAATCCTTTAGTAAGTATTTTTTTTTTCTATTAAACTTTGAAACTATATGTTTACACTGTTTATTTTAATACTATTATTATTTATGAATTATTAATATATTTTTTATACACTTTAATGGTACATAATATATTTATTTTAAATAAATATTATTTTTTTAATTTTAAAACAATGACACCAAAGGAATTCATTCAAGATCACTTGTTCAATTTTAATTCACTCATTCAAGATAACAGAATAAATTTTAAAATGCTTATTATAAGTCCTGTATTGTTTATATTAATTTGACTAAAAATACCTATATATTCTATGTTCTTAATTTCTATGTTACTTAATTTGATACAGGATTTCATCAACCAGATGAAGATGACTATGGATATGTTTCAAAAGATGCCATGGATATTTATAATAATATCATAAATAAATATGTTAATACTCCTGCTGATTCAAGAAGTTCGAAAACAGTAAATCACAAAAGTCATGATATTTCTGGAACTAAAGTAAGTATACTATATTTACATAATATTTTTGATAAATGGTGCAAAATACTGTTGATTTAGTATGAAGTACAAAGATTGGTAACAGGTAAATTGTTCTAATAAATTTAAGATTAATGTATCTTTAGTTTCCTAAGTGAAAGGAGGGAGTTTTGGCTATAGACAGTAGTTATTAGTTATTAAAAAAAGATATATAGTATTGTCTTAATTTGAACATCAAAATAATCACAAAAGAAGTTATGAGTTACAGTAAAAAATAAATTACTTGTGAATTTTACTTTTTTTTTTTGTATTTTTTTATCGGTTTTTTTGAAAGCTGTAGAGAAATTCATCTATTAGCTATCTAGATGTATACTCAAGACACAGTTTTTTAAAACAAAAAAATAGATATTCAGAGCAATTCTTCTGTTGAAATATTGTAAACAACATAAACATTAATTAATAAAAAAAAAAAAAATGTACATATCTTAGTGAAACAAATATATTCTTTTCTATCTTCAAAATTTAAAATGACAAAATTTGTTATCAGAAATCATTCCTCCACTTAAAAATTAAATCAAAATTTTGATAACAGGCATAACATTAAAATAAAATATAACACATGCGACATATATTCGCTATTATATTTACTACAATAGTAAAATCAAAAATTTAAAAAAAAAATTTGTTTATGTTTTAGGATCGTGTAAAAGCAGCACTGTTGAAAGAAGAAGAAGATCAATTATTACCACATAAGCGGAAAAGAAAACCTAAAGAATTAGAAAATATGGAGGATAATCAAGTAGATCCAGAGCCACAACAAAAAAATTTGAAAAGTGATACAGATAAAATTAAAAAACGTCCTATGCAACCACCTCCATTGAATTTCCAGGAATTACTTAAAATTGCTGAAAAAAAGCAACATGAACCTATTATTATTGAAAAACCTAAGAAAGAAGAATCTTTACCCATGATGACTAAAAAAGAAAGAGAAAAATATTTAGAAGAAAAAAGAATTGAAACAATGAGAAATGCTCGGCGACAAGGTAAAATTGCACCTTCTACTGAAAATCCAAAAGAAGTTAGACCAATTGAAAAGGTACACAAACCAATTGCATCTTCTTCAAAAGTTGATTTAAATGCTGAAAATAAATTAAAAAAAAATGCTTCTGTATGGACCAAAGATTTAAAAATTCATAAAGAGCTCAATAATAATAGTAAAAATGATAAATATGTACCTAGATCATTAAATAACTCAGAAAGTGTTGGATTTAAATCTAATAGTGGAAATAAAAGCATACCTAAAACCACTTTGGAAAGTAATTCTTACAATGACAAAAAATATAGTTCTAATGATGAGCGTTATTCACCTAAACCAAAATCAATAAATGATAAGTATATACCTAAACCAAAACATACAATTCAAGAAAAATATTTACCAAAATCTAAAGGCATCTCAAACCGTGATCAATATGTGCCAAAATCAAGTAACGATTCTTATGAAAAGTATTCACCTAAACCTAAGAATTTTTCCCATGATAAATATTCATCAAAACCAACTTCTACTGAAAAATATGAACCTAGAGCGAAAATCTTGACTAATGAAAAATATCTGTCTAAACTTAAAAGTCAATCTGAATTATATTCACCTAAAGCTAGAAATGAACCTGAAAAATATGTGCCCAAGGGAAAGAGCTCATCTTCCACTGAGCTATATACACCCAGTGCGGTCAAACGATCAGTTGATAGATACAGTCCAAAACCAACGTCATCTCAAAGCTTAAAATCAAAATCTATCAGTTCAAAAGATAAATATGTCCCAACTCCTGTAAATAAATCTAAAAATGTACCACCCAACAATAATGTTAAGCCTAAACAATTTCCGCCTAAAGACATAGTGCCCAAACAATTTCCTCCTAAAGATATGGTGCCTAAACATTTCCCCCCTAGAGACATGGTACCTAAACAATTCCCGCCTAGAGATTTGGTACCTAAACAGTTTCCACCCCCTGATATGAGAAGACGAGATGATCGAAATATGCCCATGCGGAATAAACGTAGAGTTATTGAATCTGATTCAGATGAGTATGATTCAGAATTAGATGACTTTATTGATGATGGTCCCGAAGAAGGAGCAGAAGATTACTCAAAAGTTATTTCTGAAATTTTTAAATACGACAAATCAAAGTAAAATACACTTATTATTATCATATAATTTAATTCTTATTATAAAACAATTTATTTTTAATTTTTTAGATACAGAGGAATAGATGAAGATGATGAATGTATGGAATCTGACTTCCGTACTCTTCAAAAAGAAGAATATCGAAGTTCTCGAGCTGGTAATTTTGTTTTTAATATTTCAGTGTTAGCAAATTTTTATTTTACATAAGAATTTTCAATTTCTATAAGTCTAATATTATTTGAAACTTTTAATATTTTATCAAATTACTGAATTTCAAGTAATATATTTATATTCAAATATACTTTAAAAATCACAGCTTTGTATATTAATTATATTAATATTAAAAATCTAACTCAAACTACAAAATAATACAAATTAAAATAATTGAATAATAAGTTTATTAAATTTATTTATACAATTATTATTCTTGTTAAATAATTTAAATTTTTTAAATTTTATTTACACTACATTCATTTATAATAAGTTATCTTTTGTTTTAGGACTTCTTGAAGATTTAGCAGACATTCGTAGAGAAAAAGCCATGATGAAACGACGAAAAAGGAATTAAAATGTTTAATTGTATTAGAATATTTTAATTGTATAAGTAAGATGTTTACTTATATTTAAAAATGTGTTACCTTAATCTATATAATCTTGAATTTTTAAGATTCTTTATAACTTTACATTCATAAAGATACCTAATTTTGTTAAATCTAATAAAAAAAATTAAATAAAATTTTTTGATATATTTATTCAGTTACTTTTCATTGTAATACTATTATGAGATAAATATTTATTTTGAATTTAAATGATTTTTCTAAAAAAATATTACCAAGAGTGTTCAAATATTATATTAAAATCTTAATATCAAATAAACACCTTAAAAAATATTTCTTTGTAGCCAATTTATAAAAATTTTATTAATGATAATTTGTTGTACTATATTAAAATGATACAACTAATTGTATTTAATATTTAAATCTATAATATTCCAGTAACTGGTAAATAGTTTATAAATAATAATGTTTTGATAGATTCAATAAAATTAAAAATTGTTAAATTTCTTCTAAAATATGTGATATTTACATGATTAAATACATTTTTATGATAAAATTATTTTTCTTATAGTTTAACTATTAATTTTAATTAGTTGATTATTTAAAGAATGTCAAAAATAATAATTTACTTATTCATAACTGATTTATTTTCTTGGCAGAGTATATAATGGATTTTACAAATAGTTTTTGAAAAACAATACGAAAATATAATATTTTCTATCATTGTGCCTAAATACTTTATACTTATGTGCGCCTTAGTACTTTATGAAGTATATATATCTGTAGACATTAGGCCTAGCTTTAATTATTTTTGTACAAGTAAAGATAATTAGGTTCACCACCATGAGTATTGTGGGCTAATTAATCAGTGATAATATTTATTTTATGCGGTAATGTTGTGACTTAAGCAATTGTGTTTCATCATGCTTAAAGCAATTTACATATTTTTGAAACTATTTTTGTAACCCAATTTATGTGCATATTATATACTGTATTATTTCTATAATTTAAAGTTATTCTAACTTTACTAGCTATTATAGTACTTTTTTTCTGCAAATGGGGATGGTATACATAATTTTTAATGAACTTTTCTATGTTATTTTTTTGGTCATATTGTAAAACATATTTTTATATTACATTAATGCCAATCACTTTTTTCTCCTAAGTTTTTGTACAGTTGAAGTTGTTTATTGTTAAAAATTTTTCATTAAAATTATATATTTATTATAATTAATCAGTATATTATAAGACCTCCGAATATTTGTACATACTAATATTGTATATTATCAATCATTCATTCTGTATACAAAGTATTACTTTGGGAAATTGTTTGTTATTGTTTTTTTGATTTATTAAAATATATTTGGCGTAAACCATTTGTGTTTGTTATTTCATTATTTTTTCATTACATTATAATCGTTACCAAACAATTAATAAATTGTCTTATTATAGACACATAATTTAATATTTTCTGTTTTATTTTCGGCGGTCATCAACACCGCACACTTTCCATTCATAACCGCACATTTTACATCGTTCAATACCACACACATTTATTCTATTCTTAAAAAGGGAAATTTGATGAAAGGTCGTTAGTTCAAAACCATACACATTTGATTAACAGTTCTTTCTCCCTGCATACTTTGAATGTACGGTTCACGTTGCCGTTTCGTATGATGCTCACTCATAATTGTTTTTTTTTATCCTGTAACCTGTTTGGGGTGGTGTTGCATAGCAAATCGGGGGATATTTTCGTTTTTAACTGTTCGAACGAGCGCAGCGATCGAATGACCCCGCCTGGTCTCGAGTTGCACTCATGTTATTTTAGATAAATGCATACGTTATTGATATATATATCAATGTGTGCTGTATTGAACGGTTTAATTTGGCAGACATATGTAGGATTAAAGTATAAAAGTGTGCGGTTATGAACGAACGCCCTTTATTTTTACATTGAAAGTAAATTCATTTATATGCTTGTATTTAAATTCTTCATATTCTTTGAATTTTTAAATTTTTAAAAAAATCATATTTCGAAGTGTAATTTATTAACAATAATAATATAATTTAAACTACGAAAGTAATAAATGTTTCACCACCAATAATAAGAAAGTATAACTCGATTGCTAATACAGAGTGTCATCTAGAATATATTTCCGTGCTTGAACAGTAAACATCATAAGATTTTATAACAAGTAATAATGCTGAATAAAAAATTTACCATAGTCTGATCGAAACAGGAACCGACCATGGCCTTCCACAAAAAAAAAAATCCTGACGCCATCACTGGATCAGACCATTGATGATAATATTGTGAGATGTATAAGTTAGCCTTTAAGCATGCGCATCCCCAAAATTTTCTTTTGGGGAGGGCTAAATTAATATTGAATTAATATTAATTATATTGAACATTGTCAGGTTGGGATGAACTGATACTTAAATTCTTACGTGGATGAACAATTCTTACAATTTTGGTCTATCTACCAAATAATTGTTTTACCCCTGAACGGTATGTACTCAAAACGTTTTACCACTCATCCCCGTAGTACTATCCTACGTACTGTTTATTTTTCAAATTTTGTTATAATTTAAAAATGTTCTAGCTTGCAATAACACCTAATTTAAATCCCTCTAAAAGTGATTTAATGGACCGATTTAACGAATGTTACCGAATGCTTGAATTCGTCCATGGATTCACTAATGATTCTGCCGCACCGTGCAGATTATTCGTTCGTGTTCGTTCCTAAGTGCATAGTTTTCTTCGGTCATACTTCCCTAGAAGTGAACTATTCCGAACGCGAAGGAATCCATTCGCAATCAGTCAGACCGTTTATACTTTCTCGTTCGGTAAAATTCGCTCTCGTTCGTCCCTGTTCGGACAATAGTCTCTAAACGCTAATAAATTATATATAAAAATAAATATTAATAGCACTAGTGTTCTCGCTGAACATATTAAACATATGTGTACAAATACCGACACCATATACTCTCAAGATGTTTTTGATAAATTATGTGTATAATGTGTTTACTCTCAAAACGCTCGCAAATAATGAAACTCGTTAACCTGGGAGAGATCTTGTCGGTGTTTTCACCAAACTTTTGTTTATGAAAGTTAGCAACGCAGTAGTATAACATTACATGAATTAAATGGCATCATATAGAATAATTAAGAATATTGTTGTTGAATATAATTGTTTGTTTTGTTTGTTAACCGCGTCATATGGAATCATTAGATTACAGACGTGGAACAAATTTATTTAGGTGTACTTAATTGATTTTTATTAATTATTTTCGTACCTAGGTACATCAAATACGAACAATTTTATTCGTCTTATTAAATTCGTTATTTATAAATAAAACTTCTGTGGCTTTTTCAATTATTTAATATTAAATTAATAAAAATACAACCAACGCATCTTTTTGCGTATAAATATGTATGTATCGTGAAGTCCTGAAGATACAACAGTGAATTTAAAACAGTTGAAACCGTCTGTAATAATTTCAAATAATCGTTTTCAATTTTCGAACACCTAATAAACTTTTATATGTTATCAGCTAACAACCAGTAATATTGAATGTATACTTTTTCGAAATCTGTATAAAGAAATGAAAAAAAAGCTATGAAATGAGACCACAACAAATTACGATTATATCATAATATTATATAGTTTATTTTGATTTATTTTTGTAGTTACTATAAAAACTATATGTATATATTATATTTCTTTTTTAACTTTACTACCCTAGTGTACAAAATCAATATTTACTTTTGATTTCCGAACAACAATTTTATGTGTAATACACAATATACTCGTATTGCACTCGGAGCCGTCCTAAGGATTTTTAGTGCCTAGAGCAAATTAATTCGAGGGCTACTCAATCGCTCAATCATCACAATAATATACAAGTACGATAAAAAAATACACATCAAACTTACAAAATGTTGGTAAATATAGGTTTCCAAACTTCAACCAATCAATGTAATTTAAATGCATCGATATAATTAATTATATTTTATTAATTTCTAAAAAATATGTATGCATTTATATGGCATTTTATACGATAAGAGAATTCCAAAGAGACTGAAAGATAATTGTACAGGAGTGTACTGAGACCAACTATGCTGTATGGTTCAAAGTGTTGGACGATTAACAGGAGAATAGAACAGAGTGTTGCGGAAATTAGAATGCTTAGATGGATGAGTGGAGTGTCAAGAGAAGATAGAATAAAAAACGAATATGTGAGAGGTAGTATTGGTGTAGCATCTATACTGGACAAGATGAGAGATAATAGACTGAGATGGTTTGGGCATGTGATGAGACGAGAAGAAACAAATGCAGTAAAAGTTATCATGAAAATGAAGGGAAAAGAGATTTGGAAGACCAAAAAACAGATAATTAGGACAAAGGTAGCCGATCCCAAATAGTGATAAGATAGTAAAAATACATTTCATAGTTTTACTATTTTAAGAACCTTTTTTATAAAATTTTTCAGTTTAAAAAATATTTTTGAAAAGCCAGGGGGGAAATGCCCAAGCTTGCCCCATTCCCGGCGCCTATGGTTATAATTATTTAGAAATAAAAAATGAAAATTTAGCCTATATATAGAGCTTAAATATCAATTTAAGTTAATTTAATTTATTATTTTTTCATAAAAAAAATAGTTTAGAAATAATGTACTAGTATCAATAATCTCCAATGGATAATGCCGAGTATTTCTAATCAATCTGGACTTAAGGAGGACACCTTTAAATTTTTCTTAACTGAAGCCCGGGGAAAAATGATTTCCTTCCCCTGCAATGGCCCTGATTGCACTCATTGACGCACAATAAATAAAATGTATAAAATAAATTTACGTTCATAGATTAATAGAAAAAAATTTATACCTGGTTCACATACTTCACATGAAAACCAACCATTACCATTTGGCTCCCACTCCCAAATTAAGTTTTGAAGCAGCTCCTACAATATTGTATTCTATATAAATACAATTATTTTAATGAAATGTTTGGCGTTAGTCAGCATAATATCTACTAAATAGAGGCATAATATAACAACAACAGTCGACAACAACTTATAATAACAAAATATTAGATCTACCAACTATCTACGTGATATCTTAGTCCGTACTCTTTACTCTTATGAGTCATACAATATTATAGTGATGGAAAAAAAAGTAAGGGGGGCTTCGTACAG